AACTAACCATGGTCCCTTGAGGACCCTGGAGATGGTGATACCAGTACAGGAGAGGCCATTAGAGGCCTGGGGGTGGTGAGAAACTACCATGGATGGCCATAGATGAGTGACGGTGAGGTCCGATTAGGGTTAGGTTTTGAGAGCATTGGAGAGGAAAGGGATTTCAGGGCGGCTGTTTGAGTGAGAGATGCCGGGTTTGGGGGTGGTCGTTTAGTTTAATTTTGGAAAGGGGGAATCTGGTCCGTTGATCACAATGATCAACGACCAGGATTTAACAAGAGCTGGGCCGGGTGAGTGGTGGATTTGGGCTAGGTAGTTTTAGGTTGAAATTTGGCTGGGTATTGGGTCAATTTTAGAGTCAGAAATTGAATAGAAAATGGAGCCAGATTTTAAATATCCAATTTTAACAACTAAATAATTTATAAAAAATAATAAATGAGTAGCAAAAATATCTTTGTGCACTAAAATGATTTTAAAATAGTTATTTAACATTTCAAAAATATAAAAGATCATTTTATGCATAAATAATATAATTATATATTAGTATGGGCTATTATTGCAAAGATGTGTAATTTAGCTTAAAAAAATGCAAATGCAATTACAAAAATGCACTAAAAATATTTAAGCACTATGTTAGCATAAATAATGAATTTAGATGGCTAAATCATCACAAAAGTAGTAGGGAGGTTAATTATTGGATATTTATATAATAAAAAGAGGAGAAATAAATTGATTTGGAGCCTTTTAAAAATAATAGAAAATTACAAAAAATACTTATGCATGCTTATAACTGCATATGTACTATTTTGAAAGTATATATATGTATTAAAATATGTGAGGAAAAATTGGGTATCAACAGGCCTAATCATTTGAGTCCAGTGGTAATTTCATTCGCTCCATTTGAAATCGGGATACAAACTTCCTTCGCATTTCATCACCCCTCTGTCTTATCTTAAAAATGTGTGATTTTACTTGTTGCAACCTTTATGGCCCCGGCATGTGCCTTCACGAAGGAGTCTGCAAACATAGCAAACGAATCGATAGAATTCGGTGGCAAGTTGTGATACCAGATCACCGCTCCTTTCGACAAAGTTTCCCCAATTTTTTTCAACAAAACCGACTCGATCTCGTCATCATTTAAGTCCTTTCCTTTAATCCCAAATGTGTACGAGGTGATGTGTTCATTAGGATCGCTCGTCCCGTTGTACTTAGGTATATCTGGCATACAGAACTTCTTAGGAATGGGCTTCGGAGCCGCACACGGAGGAAATGGCTTTTGTACGAACTTTTTGGCACCCAAACCTTTTATGACCGGGGGTGCCCCCAGTAGTTTATCTACACGGGAGTTATACGTCTCCACTTTTTTGTCATTATCCTCAATCTTTTTCTCTCTCGACTCGATTCTTCTGGTAAGTTCCTCAAGCATCCTCATAATCATGGGATCCGTCCTCGAGCCATTACCATTCGATCTTTCTAGCACCGGCTCAGTACGGCGAGTGATTCTGGCTTGACCTCACTTGGAGTTTTATTCTGACTGTGAAGCTGAGCTATAGCAACCTGTTGAGCTTGTAGCATTTTGAATATTACTTGGAGGCTAACTCCCCCATCTGCTATAGCGTGTGTTCCTTGGCCACTAAATCGGACTTCCCTGCGTACACTTCCTCCAGGGTCTGCGCCTAAGTCTGTATTCAAAGCAATGTGTGAATTAACATCGACTGGTTCTACAATCGGCACTTCCCCAGGGTTAATCGGTTGTACACCGGCTCCCGGAGCAATTACATTGTTATTTTCCCCGTGAAATCCAAGACCATCATCGCCATGTACGGGTGCGTTTTGTGAGTTTGACATGTTTCAACCTGAGAACAGAAATTCTTGACTAGAACAAGTGTGCAAATAACGTGTGTTATCAGAATCAGTACTGAAATAATCACTATTATCTTTAGCCCCACGGTGGGCGCCAAACTGTTTACCCAAAAATTCGAGTAACAATTAAACTTGTTTTGTGGTTTTAAAGATATGTGATTTATTCTAATACTAATTGATAAACTAGGAATCATACGTATAAGTTAAAGAAATAAGTTAAATCAAACCAGTCGTGTAAGCAGACCTCGACCTCGAGCAAAGGCGACCTCGAGTTAACTGAACAAGAACAACAAGAACAGTATAATAATAATAAGACGATTCAGACGAACAGTAGGCAAGAAAGTGAAAATATATATTATTTTCTCAATGATTGATCCTCGGTTACAAATGATCGGAGTCCCCTTTATATAGTAGGGGAATCCTAAATAAGGTATGACTCTAATTGTAGTAGGGAATCTTATTATGCAGCTGTCTAACCGCCCAGTACAAATCCATCCCGGAATTTACGCCGTGATCTTAGGGCCACCGCGGGAATCTCGCTCTTTCTATTATAAAACCATAACGATATTATCTCGAGGTTGGTCATACTCGGCCCCGGTGTTCATCTAGCATTCCGATCTTCGAGTATAGTATTCTGCCATCGGGCTCGAGCCCGGCAATATCGAACTTGTTTCTCGATGCGACCCCTCGAACCTATAAAATCGGGGACACATGATTTTACCGTGTACAAAGAACTAACTTTAGGAGATGTGGCTAGAAGAGAATACCATAATTAGGAGTTGCCATCAGATTCCCCTGTCAATTTGTTGTATAAATTGTGGAAAACTCATCATCTGTGGTAAAATTGTGCCAACAACTTGTCCGGCTCATTTAGTTATGAATTGAGTGGTCCTTAGTATTAGGGACTGAATTTACGTTATGTTTCTCTGTATCTATTCAGAAATTAAGGAAGAAAATATGTACTATTAGAAACACGAGACATATCAACGCGTGAGCGCACAAACAAAAAAGAAAAAGAAAAAAAAAGGACCAACGTAACATCACATCCCAGAAAATGGTGTTTCACTGAATTGCGCATCTGCCAAGCAAATACATCTAGAGAGAGTAAACAGCATATCCTTAAGAGAGGATAGACATATATCGAATCCTATATATGTTATTATATACAGGATATAAATATTGTAACATTTTTATTAGCTCATTTATTTCATAATAAGATCACTCAACTAACCTTTTCAAGTATTTTTAATTTCACCATATAAACAAGCAATGTAGGACAACTGATCTAGCAATGGTCGCTCAATCCTGTAATGAATCTAAAAAGAAGGATCTTGAAATTTCTGAGTCTTCCAAACCATGGACAGTGCAGATTTAGCAGTAAATTATGGTGAAATGGGAACTCCCATTTAAATTATGATAATGAAATCTCAGACGTGGTCATGGTCTTTGACCATTAGTACAATATCGCGTGCACGGACAGGGTGTCAGGGTGATAAATTTATGTTCAATTTTATCCATTTACCACCACTGATAAAGAGTAGAAAAAGAAGGTTGACTTAATTATTTTTCCACTATATTTGTTCTCAACACCTGGACCAGGCAATGTCTATATTGGTCCATAGCTAAGCAAGATACAAGACCTAGCTCTTCTCTTCAAATTAAATATTTTTCCCACTACTGTTTATTAATTTATAAGGATCTTGATGCTTAATTAATTAATAAGAAGCACACTCTAGCTATACCTTTTTTTTTATTGCGTCTCCTTGTAATTTTTTCATTTAATACTGGTGGGACAAAGAAAGCTAATTTTTCCAAAGTCAGTGGAGCAGGGACCCACTTATATAGTGTATGTGGTGAGCGAATAAATGAGAATTAATTTGAGGACCTTCCAGAAATGTACTAGCTTTACAATTAACTTTATTATTATATATGCACAGTACGTAGTTTAATAGTCGATCTAGTTGAGTACTCCCTCCGGTCCAAAATAAGCGATTTTTTTGAATATTTTCACACAAATTAAAAAATCCACCTTTTAGCATTAATTAGTAATGAAATTGATCATATTAACCTTTACTATCTCACATAAACACTCCTAACACATATTCCAATACTATTTACTCCAAGGACAATGTAGGAAAAAAATAATTAATTCACTCTTGAAATCTGGAAAAATCACTTATTTTGGACCACAAGAAAAAAATCAAAAAATCACTTATTTTGGAACGGAGGGAGTAGTTTTCTAGTGGGTACAACATGCACAAATGTGAGTATGTCTAATTTATTAGCATTGGATCAGTATAACAACCAATCTCCTTATAGTACACATGGTCTAGCAGCCACAAATAAGATCACATCGGGGAATTGATATTAAACTATATTAGCTAATAAAAATCATGAGAAGTTAAGAGTTAATTGCTTGATAATTTCTTTGCATCCGCATGCTTGAGTCTTAGAAGCCAAACACCCAAAATTGGTAGCAGATAACTGATGAAATATAGTCGAGGTATGCACAAATTAGACCGAACATCAGGGGCGGATCCAGCACAATAATTACGGGTTCTCGTGAATCCAGTAGTTTTTGTCTAGATACTATATGTGTATTGAAAAATCCATTAAATATATAACCTAATCCATTAATCCCGTTAATATTATATATTAACTTGAGATTTCTGCAGGAACTCATAAAATTTAAAATTCTGAATCCGCCTCTACCAGACATCGTCATTATTTAGATAAATAAAAAATTAAGTGAAAAGGACGAAGAGGAGGCCGTTTGTTGGCATTGTCATAAAATTGAGTTTGGCATGCATTTGAGTTTGATATTAAATTAGCCGATTTCAGCACAACCACCTCTGGTAAAGCTACCCATCAAAAAAATAGGAGAAAAAGTAGTCCTAATTAAAGTTTGAAGTATTTATCAAGCAATATGCATCTTCCTCAGATATTTAATTTACTATACCTCTCTTATATATTATTAGGTGAATATTTAGTATTTCCTTAATTGTGCCTGGCGCACCCATATCTACAAGCCCAACTAACCACAGTTGTAGGCATATATCATAATGTCTATATTCAATACCCTATCGTACTCAAAATTAAAGTACTACAGTACTCCCCATTATATAAACACTCACAAATTCAATCCTTGTGTTGCACTCTTTTCTTACCCAATATTTCTCTAGACCAATATGGAATACTATGGCAAGAGAAGCCTCCATAGTTACTTTGATAAAGAAAGAAGATCATCAATACAATCCCCTCCTCGTCTTTCCTTCAATTCTCATCTAAACTTATCTGAACACGAACTTCTCTATAGTCCTTCAAGATCTTCTAATGCTAGTGCAACCACTATGCTTTCCTTAATGCCCTCTCCTAGCCCGGATTCTCCTTGGACACTTTCCCCTTTACAAACACCATCCCCCTCTCTCCTCTATCATTGCATCGCGTCCCTCCATCGCCACGAGGGCACAATTTATGCCATCGCCATTGCAAAAGGTATTGTCTTCACCGGCTCAGAGAGTAGCCGGATACGTGCATGGCGACAACCGGATTGTATCGAGAGAGGGTACCTCAAGGCAAGTTGTGGTGATGTTAGGGCAATTTTGGTCTATGGTAGCATGTTATTCACTTCACATAAAGACTACAAAATCCGGATATGGAATGTGAATGCATCCGATAATTTTCGAGGCAAGAAAATCATAACCCTACCTAAGTCCACTTATTCATTTCTCAAATTTCCTAGGTCAAGTAGTAGCAATCAACATAAAGATTGCATTTCTTGCATGGCTTATTACCATGCAGAAGGGCTTTTATACACAGGATCATGGGATAAAACAGTCAAGACATGGAGAATCTCCGATAATCGATGCGTGGACTCGTTCTTGGCTCATGAAGATAATGTCAACTCAATTGTTGTAAATCAAGAAAATGGTTGTGTTTTCACATGTTCATCCGATGGTTCAATAAAAATTTGGAGAAGAGTATATGGACAAAACTCTCATACTCTTACAATGACACTAAAATTCCAGCCATCACCTGTTAATACATTAGCCCTAAGCACTTCACTAAATTCTTGTTTTCTCTACTCTGGATCCTCAGATGGATTCATAAATTTTTGGGAAAAGGAGAAAACTTCCGGTAGATTTAACCATGGAGGATTCTTGCAAGGGCATAGATTTTCTGTCCTTTGTTTGGTTGCAATAGAGAAATTGATATTTAGTGGCTCAGAGGATACAACAATTAGGGTTTGGAGAAGAGAAGAAGGGAGTTGTTTTCATGAGTGTCTTGCTGTGTTAGATGCACATAGAGGTCCAGTTAAGTGTTTGGCTGCTAATTTGGAAATTGACAAAGTTGTAATGGGATTTTTGGTTTATAGTGCTAGTTTGGATCAAACTTTTAAAGTTTGGAGAATTAAGGTTATGCCTGATGAGAAGAAGGTTAATATTTCCTCGGAAGAAAATGATCAGCAGAATGGTGAAAATAAAATGAAGACAATGGAATATGAGTTAAATCCTGTTTTATCTCCTTCTTGGGTAGAGAAGAAACTACGAGGGAGCCATCATTTTCACTAGGAAAAAAATAAAGTTAGTTTACTTGAAGTCGACGTGTATATTATTTTGTATTTCAAATTTCAAGAACTATAAATGATCCCATAAATCTGTGTTGCTGATGACATCTTATTTATGGTGGGACAACTCATATACTGTCCGGTTAGATTTTATACCACTATGACTAGATTATTGACATAGTTAAACATACTTTTCATCTGTTTCACTTTATGTGACATAATTATTATTTGGATATTTGGGGAACCGAGAAATTTTCTTAAGGGTATTCATACGTAAAAACGATTTTCAACAAAAAATGTTCAATATATATATATATATATATATATATATATATATATATATATATATATATATATATATATTATAATGTAATTTTTCGTAATTTTGCGATGAAGGTGGTCAATTGATGTGACGACCCGGCCCGTCGTCACGTGAGTTACCGCCCCGTTTTCCCCATATTATGTTTCTCTATGCTTCATTATCGGTATTTGAGGTAATCGAGTTGGATTGGTTTGTTTTGGTAGGAAATGGGACATTTAGTCTCTTTAAGGAAAGCTTGTTTTGGAAAAGTCAACCGGAAGTTGACTAGTTAGTTAGAGGGCTCGGATGTGATTTCCGGTGATTCAGTTAGCTTCGGGGGAAGATCCGTGACTTAGGAGCATGATCGAAATTGGTTTTGGAGGTCCGGTGTAGAATTAGGCTTGAATTGGCGAAGTTAGTATTTTGGCAAACTCCGGTTGGTAGGTGAGATTTTGATCAGAGGGTCGGAATGGAATTCCGAGAGTTGCAGTAGCTCCGTCAAGTGATTTTGGATGTGTGCGCAAAATTTCAGGTCATTCGGAGATGTTTTGGTCGGGTTTTTGATCGAATGCGTATTGCGGAAGTTTTGAAGAAGCTTAGGCTTGAATTCGATGTGATTTAATGGTTTTAGCGTTGTTTGACATGTTTTGAGGATTGGAACAAGTTTGAATAATGTTTTAAGATGTGTTGGTAACTTTGGTTGAGGTCCCGGGGGCCTCGGGGTGATTTCGGGTGGCTAACGGAAGGAATTTGAAGTTGGAGAATTGCAGGTTTTTGGTTGCAGCAGGTGTTTCCGCATCTGCGGAAAAGAGATTGCAGATGCGGTCTCGCAGAAGCGAGCTAGGCCTCGCAGGAGCGAAAATAGGAGCCCAGGTCAGGTTCCGCAGAAGCGGGACATTAGGTCCCTTAAGCGGTCCCGCAGATGCGAAGTTGGACCGCAGAAGTGGAAAGTCGCCTTAAGTGAAAGGTCCGCAGGAGCGGACGTTGACCACATAAGCGGAAGGTGCAGAAGCGGAAATAACTGGCAGGTTAAGTGAGAACATCTTCTTCGCGAATTTTTGAAAGAGTAACATTTTGGACTCCGAACCTTGAGAGCTTTGAGGCGATTTTGAAGAGGGATTCGAGGGCTATTATCAGGTATGAACTCTTGGGCTTAGAACTTGATTTTATGGTGTATAAACATGAATTTGGACTGAATAATCAAGGAATCAAAGGTCAAAAATGGTGGTTTAGGGCTTGAATTTAAAAGAGTTTAAAATGGGGATTTGAGGGGTCAAATGGACCCCGATTTTGATGATTTTGATATGTATAGACTCGTGGCGAGACGAGGAATCCGATGATGTAAATTTTATAATTTTTCGAGAAGTGGGCCTGGGGCTCGGGTTTTGCCAACTTCGTGATTTTCGATGTTTTTCAAGTCTTTTGGATTGGGTTATATCCCCTTAGCCTATTGTAATGTATTCCTTGTGATCTTGATCAGATTTGACGCGCGAGGACGTCAATTCGAGAGGAAAAGGCATAGCGAGCTAGACTTTGGGCCGGCTTGAGGTGAGTAATGGGTGTAAATGATGTACTGAGGGTTTGAGACCCCGGAATTTCACATCGTACCGCTATATTGAGGCGAGGCACGCGCTCTATGACGAGTGCGGGGCTGTTGGCTATTGGGGATTGTGACTTGGTCCGTCCCGGTGATGTTTTACTGTGTTTTTCTACTAGAACTTGTTGGAAATCATCGTTACTTGGATTTGACTGTTGTATTTGGGTTTCGTTCCGGTTATTTGAATCCTTCAGGGATTGATTTCACTGATTTGCATACTTTGCACATTGTTTAACCTCATTCTAAGGTTTTCAGTACTATTTTGCAAACTCAGCCCCTTTTTCTAAACTTGAAAACTTAAATGATATTTTAATTGCACCAGAATTACTAACCATATCCACACATTTGCCTTCTACATTTGTCAATTACCCAGCACCATTGGACAACAATCTCGGTACCACGAACGGGCCCTGTAGACTTGGGGGCAAACTTGCCTTTGGTTTCAAACCGACGTGGCATGATGCATTTCAACAGTATTTCTTTACTACCCCCAGTTTCACTTGATTTGGGCTCGAAGTGATCTCAAAATCCCTCGACTGTCCTTACATCTTCAACATTGTTTTATTGCTTCATTACTAAACGGACTTTTAAAACCAGGCTGAGAATTATGCGTGCATGTCATGTCACCAGAACCAGCATGAAAAGAATTGCAAAAGGAGAAAGGAACTAGATATAATGACTAGAAATGGCGGGAAACAAAGAATTGCATTAGACTGACGGTGAAAGGGTTTAAACAACGAAACAAGCAAACTAGACTAGAGTTACAAACCTTGAACAAACCTAAACAGCACTACACAAGCTACTACGACGAGACAAACAAGACAAAGTGAAAGGATAGAAGGGTTTGAGTTACAAGACAATATCTGGATTACAACCCTGAAATAACCCGGACAACAGAAATGACAACAAAATAAACCACCAAAGCTCCAAGAGATGGAGCGTCTTCCCAATTACCAAGCACGGCGTCTTAGCCACTGAATTTCAAACCAAGATTGCTGGAATTTTCACAAGTCTTCATCACGTTGTTCTGAGCAAACTGCTTCTGGGCTTCATCTGCCGGCTCATTCTCACGATCAATCATACCCACCATATGCGTCTCATTGTGCACAGGAGATGGATCTTGGCCAGTGTTTGTTGCATCTGGATTTTGCACGACGATGTCGCCTGCATTAATAAGCTTTTGAATTGCATTCTTCAAAGTGCAACATTTCTCTATGTCGTGCCCCAGGGCACCTGAGCAGTATGCGCACTGTTGAGAAGGATCGAACTACTTTGGAGGAGGGTTCGACACTTTTATCTGAATCGGCTTCAACATGTCCAGTGTCCTTAACCGTTGAAACAGACTGGCATATAATTCTCCCAACGGAGTGAAGGCTTTCTTCTTTCGTAACCTCTCATTCTTAAATGCTGGATTGGGCCGAAAACCTGATCTGGGGTGTTGTTGGGAAGCTCGCGGGGGTAGATGGGCATTACTTTGAGCTGGGTACTGTGATGTGCGACTTAAGGATTTCTGTGGAGAGAAGTAGCATCGGGGAAGGTCATCTAATGCACAAGGATAACCACGGAGACGATGTCGAGGCTGGAAGTGTTGATCAGGAAAACCTATCGGATCGTCTTTTCTGTTCCTCTTTCTTCCAACCAAGCTTACTGGTACGTTCTGAATGGCTTCCGAACAACTCACGATTTTGCCTGACTTGATTCCTTCTTCCACTAGCTCCCCCATTTTTAACACATCATTGAAAGGCTTTCCCAGGGCCGGGATCAAATGACTGTAGTAGGTGGATCCCTGGGCCTGTAGAAAAAGCTTAACCATTTCTTCTTCGCTGATCGGGGGACTGACTCGAGCAGCTTGCTCCCTCCATCTGAGCCCAAACTCATTAAAGCTTTCCTCCGGCCTCTTTTCCATCTTAGATAGCGAGGAGCGGTCTGAGGTAACCCTCGATTTGCATTGAAAGTATCGGACAAAGTCTTGAGCCATGTCACCCAATGTAAGACACTCATCGATATTTTGCCGACCATGCCAGTCCAAAGCTGCCCCAGTTAGGCTTTCACAGAAATATGCCATCATCACGTCATCTTTCTCTCCAACAATCCTCATTTCGTTGCAATAGACCCTCAGGTGGGCTACCGGGTCTCCACGCCCATCATACAAGTTAAATTTTGGTACTTTGAATCCTACGGGCAGGCGAGCATCATGTGGCACAATCAGTTCTTTGCAAGTCATGCTACCCTGACCTCCCACTCTTCGCTTGTCCCTTAAGGGCTGTTCTGTGCTTGTCAACTTCCTGGGTACCTCATCTCGTCCTTCTCTTCCTGTAACCTTTTCATTTCTAGCATGGAGCTCATCCCGGGAGCTCTTCTTGTATGAATCAAGGACCCTGTGGGCAACCTCTGGAGGGTGATATTGGGCATTACGAGCTTTGAATGGGTGTTCATTGTTTGGGGTAAAGGATATGATAGGAGGGCAATTTTGGGGAGTAGTGACTGAAGGATGAGCGATGGAGCTACTAGGGTAGTTGGGACGAGTGTGATAAGCGGGTGTATCTGGAGAATATAGAGGATCATCTGGTATTGTGTTGGGAGTTTGGGTAAGGGTAGCGTTCGGGAAAATTGGTGGTGGCGGGGGTGGCGCCTTCCCAGTCATCCAGGCTTGATACATGTCTGTCATGTGTTGCCTCAGCATCCGCACCTCTTCAGCCAACCCATTATCCCGTTCCACCAACTGTTGTCGAGCACCAATATCAACCAACTCAGTTCTCTTGTTGCTTGCCATTGCCTTTTGTCCTTGTGTTGTAAAGAAGAGTTACCACTTTCAAACCACAAACTAACCACCTTTCTGGAATGACATGACAAAATGAAACATCACGTTAGCGTTAGGGCATTTAACAAATTGGTACCCGCACATTTGGGGAGTGAATGTACCTAGGCTGTTAACAGTTCCTATTATGCTTTTGATCGGTCGCATGCGTCATCCCGGCCTTTTCATTTTCCTTTATTTGCCATGCCTTTCCTCTCATTCTTCCCTCGTGTTTTCCATTGTTTGTTTCTTGCCTTTCCCTCTTTTCTTTTGCTTTTCTCTCTTATTTTTCCCTCTTTTCTTTTCTTTCTTTTTCTTTTGACTTGGGTTTTTCCTTGTTCCTATTTGCTCCTTTCCTCGAAATTGTTTTTCCGCTCTTTTCTTTCCTTTGCTCCCTTTTTATTTTCTCTTGTTCGCTTTTGTTTGGTTTCTTTTGTTTTTTTCTTTTTCCCTTTTTTGT